AGGTGAAGGTTTACAGAACAAATAGTATCTCATGAAACTAGTACACATACTGTTTTATGACATTGGTTAACAACCCCACGACATGTCAGCCCTCTCCCTTCTCGACTTTTTTTTTGGGGGGGGATATACATAGCCAATGATACACCATTTCAAAAATTTCTATATGCACAGTTCAGTGACATCGACTACACTCTTCCAGTTGTGCTGCTATTCTCACTTTAGAACAAAATAGTTTCTCATTAAACAGTTAGTACACGTTGCCCTATGACAATGATTAACAACCTCACAACACATCAACACTATCCTTACTCAACCTTGGGTTCCCTATCACCAGCTTTCCTATCCCCTTCTGCCTTCTAGCCCTTGTCCCTGGACTGCTGTGCCTCATTAGTCCCATTTGGTTTTCTGGGGCTGTCCAATCGCCAGCTGAACGGTGAACCTCGGAAGTGACTTCACCACTGAGCTAAAAGGGTGTCCGGGGGCCATTTGGGGTTTCTCCAGTCTCCTTTAGGCCAGTAAATGTGGTCTTTTTTTTGTAAGTTAGAATTTTGTTCTACATCCTTCTCCAGCTCTGTTTAGAACCCTCTGTTGTGATCCCAGTCAGAGCAGTCAGTGGTGGTAGCCGGACACCATCTAGCTATACTGGACTCAGTCTGGTGGAGGCCCTGGTAGCTGTGGTCCATTAGTCCTTCGGACTGTCTTTCCGTTGTATCCTGTTCTCTTCACTCTCCCTTGCTTCCGAAGGGATGAGGCCAGTGGAATATCTTAGATGGCAGCTCATAGGCTTTTAAGACCCTAGACGCTACTCACCAAGGTAGAATGTAGAACATTGCCTTTATAAACTGTGTTACACCAATTGAGCTAGATGTTCCTGGAGACCATGGTCCTCACAGTTAGGGCAATAGTTTTTTGGGTTCATCCAGCTTCCATGGCTCCAGAAAGTCTCAAGTCCATGAGAATTTGAAATTCTGTTCTCCATTTTCCCCCTTTTGATCAGGATTCTTCTATAGAATTGTTTCTTTTTAATGCTTTAGATGAAGGTTTACAGAGCAAATTAGTTTCTCATTAAACAATGAATACACATATTGTTTTGTGACAATGGTTGCCAACCCCACAACATGTCAACACTCTCCCCTTCTTGACCTTGGGTTCACCATTACCAGCTTTCCTGGCCCCTGCTGCCTTCTCGTTCTTGCCCTTGGGCTGGTGTGCCCATTTAGTGTTGTTTTATGGGTCTGTCTAATCTTTGGCTGAGGGCTGATACATTAAAGTTTTTAAATCAGCTTTATGGAAGTGTCAGTTCCATATAATAAAATTCACCCATTTTAATTGTGCAGGTAAGTGTGCAATTCCATGAGTTTTGACAAATGTACAGTTATATAGCCACCAACACAATCATGACAGGGAATATTTCTATCATCCCAAAAAGTTTCCTGATGCCCCTTTGCAATCAATCCTATCCGACCTCTGGCTCCTGGCGATCATTGGTCTGCTTTCTGTCTTCATAGTGTTGCCTTTTCTAGGAATCATACAGTATGTAGTCTATTGTTCTGGCTTGTTTCACTTAATGCTTTTGAGATTTATCCATGTTGTTGCTTGTATATATAGTTCCTTTTTTTTTTTTTTTTAATTGTACTTTAGATGAAGGTTTACAGAACAAACTAGTTCCTTCCTTTTTATTATCCATTGTATGGAATACCTCATTTTGCTTACTGTTCACAAGTTGGTGGTCATTTGGGTTGTTTCCAGTCTGGGGCTATTATGAGTAAAGTTATTGTGACCATTTGAGTACAAGTCTTTGTATGAACATACGTTTTCATTTCAGTCGGGTAAACACCTAAGAGTGGGACTTCTGGATTGTATGATAAGTGAATTTTATTTAAAAAAAAAAAAAAAAAAA